CACGATCCAGTGATACTTCGCCCAACCACCATGGACGCGCAGTGGCAGCAATACTACTGGAATCATTATTTGATGCAGCAACATCATCAGCAGCTCACCAACCCAGATACCACAACTTCTCCTCCCACCACCGCACACCACGCCTACAGCCCCACAGGCACCTACGGCCCACTCACTCACGCACTTCGTACACACCACGTCCACCACTCCAACCCATATGTGACTCCACCGTACACACCGCCATCGCAGCATACACCCCCACCCCAGGCATCCACCTCCCAGCCGGAGTTTCCACCTCCGCCACCGCCACCCCTGCCAACGGCCGAACCCGTTACTCCACCACCATCGACTTTCCAACACAGCCCACCGCCACCACCCACCACACGTGGCAACACAGCGCCTGCCCCACCGCCCCCACACATTCCATCTCCCACACCACCTGTTCCCGACTCCTGGAACCCAACCGAGCAACATTGGGACTCCAACACCCTGCACGGCCACCAACTACATCGTACAATCCAACCCACCCAGTGGTCTCGAAAAGCAGGAGTGGCCGGACTCCCCACCTTTGAGGTTTTCCCGTGGCAATTGGCTTACCACGGTACCTCCGAGTTCACCGCCCGTACCCTGAGCAACGGCAAATTCACAGGTTTCATGGCCACCAGAAGCATAGCGGAGTCAGTCTTCGTTACCCATTTTCTCCAACAACTCCGCGAGAACCGCCTTGACCTTGACGGCATCGCGGAGGCTCTCCACACCCAACAGAGCACAGACATTCCCAACAAAACTACCCATGCCCGAGCGTTTCACGCTCCCCTCATCAAACTGCTTATCGACCAACTGCAAACCCACTCTCCAGCACCTGCGGAAGGCTCCGCTCTACGCGCCCTCAAAAACACCAACGACGAACTGGCTCGTGCACGTCAGAAACTCCAAGACCTGGGCAACCCACTCACACCAGTCAAGAACACCAGCCGATCCTCTGCACCAGCCGCCCCTTCCCACGCACCCACGCCACCACCACCGAAACCACCAGCCATCACCGACGTCTTGCAACCACCACACCCCACGCTGCAAGACGACATCCCCGAAGGCTGGAACTACCCAGATATCCAACAATGGGTCACTACCTTTGACCCCGCCATCCAAGAAGCTACGAAGGAAGTCATCCGACTGCTGCAAACAAGCAAAGTCACCACGCAGCAGCTAAAAGAAGCAGCCACCAAGTATGGCCTCCCCCTTAACCGGGTCAACAGACTCCCCATTCGCAGCCTACAACAGCTGGTGGGAGTCGGCGCAGCCATCGGTTGCTGACTCGCCATCTTGGCCCAGCAGCAACCCAGCCACACCAACCTCACCCAACTCTTCCACCTGCACCGAGCACTTTCCATCCTCATTCACCGCACCCAATACATCGACCGCGCCGAGGCCATCTTTGCAACCGGCCTCATCCACATCACACTTCTTTTCGCATACCCCTCCAACACCCGTCGCTCACAACAGTGGCGCAACCGCCTCCGCCAGCTCCACATTTTACCCCACACCTACCACTACCACAACTTCCTCTCTTCCAATTCCGTCTACATCAAGCTCCACTTCAATCCCGACCAACCCCAACGCTGCTACCATCAACATGGCCACTTCTACGTTGGCTCCACAGCTATCGGCATCCTCCACCGCGAGCACAATCGCCGCGCCAAACTCAAACAACTCCAAAACAACATTCCCATTTCTGCAGAACTCTCCTTACGTTATTGGCATTCACACAACAATATCCACCACTACACCACTATTCAACTCACCTCCCATGACACATACGACCAAGCCTGGATCCAAGAGCACCACTACATCGCCAACTGGATGCCTTCACTCAACTGGCCTTTTATTTCCCACCACCTTAAACTCAAAGCTCAGGGATGGCAGTTCGCGAAACACAGAGCCCACTTCTACTCCAGACTAGCCACCCACAAACGACTTTTCCGACGCCTTCGACAACGCCAGTACACCCTCAGGGAACCACACCTCTACACTTCCACTAAGTATCACGCCCTCCAACTTCTTCGCAACCTTACCAAACACACCACAGCCTCTTTTGAGGCAGCAAAACAGATAAGAAGCGGCCGCCACACGGACCTCGAGGTGTATGCAATCCGGCGTATGGCCGCCAATTTGGAAGAACCTGGCCGCAGCCGAGCTCTTCACATCCTCAACAAAGCCTTGATCTACCGCAACCTCACGCCACCTAAGCCAAACATCCCACTGACAGTGCCCTTCTTGGCCCATGACGACTTCACCAAGCACTGCCAACAATGGCTTCGTACCACCATCCAGCAGCACAAGCATTTCACCATTCCCCTCCACCTCCCCTCCCACAGACTGAGGGAAGCCGCCCACAAAACCCTCCGCTCCCACCTGCACAACCACCGCACATGGGAGGACACCCTCCACTCCCCGCCAGATCCAGCAGACCTCCCCTGTGCATGCGATCACCTTCGCACACTCCTGCAGGATCCCGATACCCCTACCATCAATGGCCACTACATCCTTACACTTGACCAACTCCAACTCCCTACACACCTCAGCATTTTCCTCAACGCCAATATGAACAGCACCTATTACCCAAGCAAAGCTCGGTACTTCCTCATTTTCAAGACTGCCTATACCAAATGGCTCAAACTACAAGGGCTACCACCATCCCTAGTTCAACACCTACAGCCTTTCCTTGAGCACCAATGGCGCCTTCACAACACACACCTCAAGCAGCAACCCCGTTTTACGGCCAGCCTGCTTCGTCAACTCCAAGAACATTTGGGAAAACACACATTACTCCACCACGCCGATCATGAGCTCCAACAACTGCGACTTTTTTGCCCTCGCCAATACTTCACTGGCGCCTTCAACACCTGGCAATCCCCTGAACTATTTGAACCACTTCCCTACATCACTGTCGCCAACATCCATGACCACCTAGCCGCCACCGTCCCCCCCATCCTGCGCACCCGCTACAAGTGGGGCTTCCGAAAAGACTTCAACATCCCCTACGGTGTTGTCCACCTTAAAGAGAAGAAGCACTGGCAAAAAGGCCGTACAATTATATCCTACTTCCAATCACTCAGCGGCAACTTGCTACGCATCACCAGCCGTGCCCTCGACATTATCCTCCAACACCTCTACCCTCAGCATCCAGGCCAAATGTCCATTCCACAGCTTTGGCACCACTTTCACAGCTACCTCACCCAAACCCCACCCGACATCTCACTACACGCCACCAATGATGACCTGGTCGGCTTTTTCAACTCCGTCCCCCAGCACCGACTCATCGATGCAGTCCACTCCCTTGTTCTCCACTGGCAACAACAGCAATCCACACACACCTTAACGGTGGATGTCCAGGCCACCGGCAATCCGTTCCACCACTCCCACATTGGCAGACACCATCGAAAACACCCTACCCAACGCACCATCCAGACTTCCGACATCACCACCATTGTGGCTTTTGCCCTCGACACATGCATTTTCCGGGCCTGCAACAACACTTACAAACAAATCCGAGGGGCCGGGATTGGATCCCAGCTCTCTCCAGCCCTATGCAATGTTGCCATCACCCTCATTGAGCATTCATGGCATCAGATCCACAACAACCTCCTTCAACACACAGACCTCCACTTTACTTACTATCGGTATGTCGACAACCGTTTCATTGTCCACAACGAACATTTCCTCCAACACCCGGCTATCCAAACCCTCATCCACCACAATTTCTTTGGCGACCCTGTGGAACTTGAACCGGTGGAGGATTTTCATCTCCTCGGTTTCAACATCGACCTCCCACAACGCACTATCACCTACATGCAACCTTCTCAACCCTGGAAAATCCGGGACTCCACAACCGCCGGGAGCCAGCGCTTGGCTCTATCAGGCCTCCAATCACGACTTCACACCATTCGAAAATACACATTTCCACCCTCCAGTGCTGACGTTGCTGCGGCTGAACTCGTGAACCTATATGTCCAAAAGGGGCATAACTACCACGCTTGCCACCGGTTTTTGAAAAAAGCGCCGAATGCGGCGACCTGTGTGTGTCCCACCCTGGACAAAGGGTCTTACACCACCACTCTTCCCATTCTACACAGGCAGGGGGCAGTGACAGAGTTTGTGGAATCACTGCCAACGAAGACGTCCACATTCTCTGGTGATGCATCGGGAGACGTCCTGATGTGTACCTGCTTCAACTTTTGAACACGCTGTCCAATCTTTTGGTTTGATTCATGGTGGTTCCACACGATACTTTCCCCACAAACAGGTTTCCCACTGCACTGCAGCTGCTGACCGCCGCTTCCACTTGCGCTTGTCGTGAAACCTGTGTTAAACAATACAGTTTAAGCTGACCTTTCCACCTTGCCGTTCCATCGCCTTCCTTCCCATTGAGACAATTGCGTTAACTGAAAAACCCAAGTTCGAAGTGTGTGTCAGTGTGAGTGTCGAAGTGTAAGTGTCGAAGTGTCAGTGTTCAAAGGATTTTCCGGAAGAACCCTTCGCAATGCTTTCGGGAATTACGGGTTTGAAACACGCATGTGTGCAAGAAAACATGTGTGCGCAACACAGCACGCTTCGTGTATACAATTGGTGCGCCCTAAGAGTTTCCTTGGTACGGGTGTGCAATTTGAACATATTTGAACCGAACGTTAAGATCCCACCCCGCCCCTCCCAACCCCACCCCACTCTCAGTCACTCGTATTGTGCGCGTAGCGTAGAAAGGTTTCGGCTGTATGGGTGTGCAAATTGAACCGAACGTTAACATCCCAACCCCACCCGCCACCGCACATGCTATGATGTGCATGACGGACACGAATGTCAAAAAAACCTGTAAATACCACACGAAACTAGAAAGTGCCGCAAATACCGCACAAAATCATGTGCAAACGCTCAAAAACAGACCCAGACCCCGATTGGGCCCGGACAGATGTCCAGGTCGCGTCGTGAAAGCCTGACGGTCTCAGGTTGCGGTTGCCCATTACCGACAAAGCCGATGTCTGGGGCCAAGCGGTCGCCCTCTTGGAGCTCTACTCGGGCCGCGCCTCGGTCCGATCGGCCGAACGGCGGCGGCGGAACGGGGAGTGGCGGTCGGGAATGGCAGTTCTAGGGTCCCTTTTCGAGTCCTATAGGGCACTGAAGATACTGAAGTCCAAAGGTTGAGCAGTACGAGCCTGCAGATTTTGGAGCCTCAACAGTGTGTAACTGGGGTCTCTGGAACCAACTTCAAGTAGCTCTAGAAAATGGGACATGACCCTACAAAAAGAAGGTATACTTGTACCAATTTTTTTTCGAAGTACCAGCAGTTGGGTCCCAAGTCGACCTTTTACGAACCCTCTTTGTTGGCATATATCACTTCGGGTACGACACCAAATGAGAGCGGTTGCCGTGTCAAGGCCAGGAACCGGTTCCAGGAACCGGTTCCGGGTGGCGAAACGAGAACCGACTGGAGCGGGTCGACTGCAGATGGGAATTGTACGATCTGAAGATCACTTAGACGTAGCTTCAAGTCGTTTGGGTATGGCAGATGTGCCAACCACAAGTTCGAAAAGAACCATCGAATCACATGCGCATGAGTGCCGTGACCCGTGGCCAGCAGCCGGTTTTTGCCCTCCACCGAGGCAACATGTGGAACGAAGAAGAAGACACGGCAGCTTGGACCGATTGGCAGCCGTCGACGCTGTCAGCCTCCCGTTAGGCCCGTTAAGGGCGAGCCCGGGGCCACATCTGAACAGGTGAAGATGATGTGGGACGGTGAGGATGTGGATGCTTTGTGGGGTTTGTTCTAACTAGCTTTTGAGGATGGAGCCATAAAGCCCTTTGGGTCTGATCAGCCAAGATAGGGTTGGTGCTGCTGTCTAGTCTACTTTAATTTATACAGTACGGAGACTATGGGAACTAAGTCTATCATTCTGCACAGTGTAAGACTTACCAAAATGCCCTGTATCATAATTTCTATTTTATTATATAAAAATACACTATGGGACTATGGAACAGTTGTCCATCATGTTTCATCTTTATATAACTGTATACTCAGTCTTAGGAAGCTCTACCTGGACCCAAGTTCAAGTATCCATGACAATTCTACATGACCCAATACAACAAAAACAGGTAGGACTGGTATACGACTGTATCCAATATTCCGAGGAACCAACGAAGGGTCCAGGTATACATGCAGTGTCATTTCGGAGATTGCATTTCGGAGATCAGATCAACGGGTCTGGTTCAATGGGACCTATCATCGGGCCCCTAGACTACAGTGACTGATTCGGGAGAAGAAGCAAAAACATATATGGTCGACGACAGTGGACTTAATCTCTCGTGAAAGAGGAGTTCTTGAGCGTTAACTGGTTGCTCCTGATCCTTGCAAGACTCCATGCTCAGGTGGAGTACATGTTGGCGCAAGCTTTGGGATTAGTCAATCAGAAGGTGGGCACATCGGTGGTGCAGATCTCCATCGCCGTCGTTTTCTCGATCAAACACATCCTAGTTCATGGTCTAGGATATGTTTATTTAGCCGCTCCGCTCACCGCGTCGGCGGATTTTCAACCTTTACTTGGGATGATTGAACCCACTATCCAAAGGAACTATCCATGACGACTATCGAACTTTCACAGGGTTTCACAGGGCACAATGAGCTTAGTCCACGCTGGGTGACGGGGGCTTCAAGTGACTCGCGGGTTCTCTCGATGAGGGGTTTCTTTATTTCCCTAGAGACGTCCAACCACTATAGTGATTGAATGGTTCGATACAGAACCATCGTTGTCAAAATAAGGATGTTACACTAAGACACCAGCTCAACCATTTTTAACTTATAGTCTTGGAAGGCCATTGGCTTCCCAGATACCCAAACATACCAGGACCCTCCAAGGGGCGTCTATAAACAGCCTCTTAGAGGTGATTCGGGGTGTCCAAAAACCACCAGACTTGAAGGTCCTGGTTTACACAACATTAGAATATATAGATATATTATGTATAATTGTATATAATCTATAATATTAACATAGAACTGCATGCACTCGTTCAAGATACCCAGACACTCCATGTATGCCATATTTGCCTACATTGGGGTCGTTTCAGGGGTCAATGCAGGTAAATATTCCACACATGGAGTGTCTGGGATCTGGTGGGTTTCACATAATTTCACGGCTGAAAGCTGGGTACTTGAACGATGATGTAATTTTAACGGGATCATTGAACATAAACAACACTGAGTCTTTTTATTGCTCGCGTGGCTTGCACTTGGGTTGGTGGCCATTTCAAGAGAAAGTGGTGCTTTGGGATGCTTTTGGTGAAAAGGAACTTCGCGTCAGTCTCATACTCCTTCTATCTGACCTCTATGCGGCCAACAGGTGTACCTGGACCCTCAAAGTACCTTGGAAAATACGGTCATACATAGTCATACCATGTCATACCTGTTCTTGCTTCGGGTCATGTCCCATTGACCTTCGGGTACGAACGGTCCGTTGGGTCCAGAACGACGTCCAGAGTTGCAAGCCGTCCATCCCACAGGCCGGCTTGCCGGAGAAGCTTCTGCGGCGAAGTCCGCTCGACATCCGACGCCTGACCGGAGCAGACGGAGCAGACGAGACGCGTCGTCGGTGCGTTGGGTGTGTAGCAGCGCGCAGCATGGAGCAGTGTTCGGGAATTTGAAGGTTAAGGCACCTTTCCCTCAAAAAAGCCCTTTCACCTTCTCAGAAAAAAAGATGGTTGGACCCTCCAAGAGCGAGCGCCCAGAATGCATTAAGTGGCGAACACTGCTCGGTCAGAAAACCCTCTCAGAGGGTGCCGTTGTGGATCCAAGGTGTGAAAGTGCTTGTTGTCTTCCTGGTGGCTCTCGTCACCTGTGGGACAGTCCAGAGTCGGACTCCCCCGCCCTATCCGCCCTTGGCTGTCGCCTAGGCTGGCAGCTAGACCCACTTACCTCCCGAGAAGGCAATGTTTATATAGAGTTCAGGACCTGTTTTGGTTGTATTTTTTGATGTCAAATCCTCAGTCAAACAGGGGTTCGCTTGTAAAAAACATTAAATCAATGGTGGTTGGAATCCTAGGCTAGAGCAAGCAAGGGCCATGTTAGGCGGACACATGAACCAAGGGGAGGGATCCAGGCAAACTCCTCGTAGCTCGAACCTGCAGTCCCAGTCCAGATGGACGAAAACCATCGCCCGAACGAGGGCCCCTGGTTTCTATGAGCCACTCCATGTGTGGAATATTTACCTACATTGACCCCTGAAACGACCACAATGTAGGCAAATATGGCATACATGGAGTGTATACAGTGGCTGTTTGTGATCGATTTGAGACAATGTTCAGCCTTTGGCAAGATTGGTGACCCTTTCAGACTTTCCTCCCGCTGCTGTTGAGTGGATTGTTTTCCTGAGCTGAAGTTTGGAAATGCCCTTGTGCATGTGGTGCCTGTGGTTCTTGCAATTGAATAGTTTCTTGACATTTGTGTCGGAGGAGCACACCGACAAGAATTTAGTCAAAATCCCACAGCCAGGGTCCAGAAATCCAGGAGCTATATATATATTACTATATATATATATAGTTAACAATCGAATGTATGGAATATTCACCTACATTGACCCTTAAAACATCTTGAAATCACCTCAATTAAATGTAGGCAATTCTTCCATGGGGTTGTTAGGGATAGGCGATGGGTCAAGACCTCGCAAAACAGATGGATCAGTCCACGGTCATGTTGTTCAGCTGGCAACCCGGAACCGGGAAGCCGACTGGGGGGTTCACCAGCTCAGACCGTCCACTGGACTCCCAGGGGTCCATCCATGTATGGAATACCGATCAGGCCAGCGGTGGCTTCGGGATCGCATATATATATATATATTGATGGAGTGTTTGGGATGGATACCCAGGGGTAACAGGGTCCGAACGTAACGCCGTAACAGTTAGTAAACAAGGATCACTATTAAACAGGCCTTTACTCATCATCAGCATCCACCGTTACTGGTACATTTGGATAGACCCAACCCATGGTATCTTCAGATCGATGCTTCCTGCTTTCTCCACTGGCCGCACGCATCTTCATGTCCCAAGGGCAGCTTTATACGCCTTCCCCTGCCTACTTTCCCGTGCAACGCATGGGCGTGGCTCCTCACGTGCGCTTCAAGGTGCAGAATCCGGATTGGAATCGTTATACTCTTCATTGACCCTCAAAACATCTTGAAACACAAGGCAACTGATGGGTCAATATTCCATGGATTGTTTGGGGTTTTGACATCAGTTGTGTGGGCTGCGGGCTGTGGTGGGATATGCCGTGACTCCCGGGCGGATTTTCGGGTCATTGAAACGGATTTTTTGGAGGGGGTCTCTACTCATTTGCAAGACGATGAAGCGAAACCTGTTATGGTTTCTCTGTACATGGTGCTTTTCTGTCTTACGTCAACTTCATCGAAGTCCACCAGCATGAATGGGCGTGAATCTCGACCAACCTTTATTTGATCGCCTTTCCCTAGCCTTTCAAGACCATTAAGAGACTGGTGGTTGACCTGGTTTTGTAGTCTAAACTCTAAACTCCTCAGTATAACAACTGTTGTTTGGTGAACATCCTTAAACATCAAGGGTCGTTGGGTAGTTGGACTGTAGACCTTGAAACCATGCAACATGTTTGCCTCGACTGGCTGGCTTTTTTAATGTGAAAAGGCATACATGTAGCACAGTTGGATGATCCAGTTATGTTATCCGTATGGATCCACATACCTTCTGAGAAGGTGATTGGAGACTATTGATTCGCCAGGAGGGCCCAAATTCTTCTGGGAAGGTATGTGGATCCATAGGGCCTAGGGTCTTGTTTTACAGATCTTAGATGACCAGTGGACCTCTGAAGATCTTAGGGAATGGGTGGACCACAGGGCATTCTCTGGCCCTGTGGATCCACACATATTGAGAAGGGGGCCCGTTGGACATATATAGGTACTATAGATTCAATGATTGGAATCCCGAAGGACTCCAGCTGTTTTCAAGGACGTTGCGCTACCAAACCAGCTCACTATGTGTGGATTCCAACCATTGAATCAATGGTCGATAGTGAGGAAGCGCCCAATCACCTTCTGTCACCTTCTCAAGCGTCTCTGAAATGGTCGAACGGAAGGCGAAGGCATTTTTAAAAGGCACAGAGGTACGTTTGGTGCGTAACGTACCTCAGAAACGAGCTATCACCGGTTCTTCGTACCGTCGTCAAGGGGCCGAACTTCCTCGGTTCGGTTTTCATGTTTCTGTCCTAGGCGACGCCCGGTCGACCAGACCATTGAGCCATACCCAGACACGACCCTAATGGGACTGCCATATATGCCGATCAGTTGGGGTGGTTGACTGGGGGTCAATGGGACGGCATTATATATGGCAGTCCCATTAGTCGTGTCTGGGATACACTCTGTGGAACCGAGACCCGAACCGAGAAGTGGACCACGTCTTCCATGACTCTTCGGAACATCGTCTGACTCGGCATGCCGTTCCAGGTCTCAAATACCGGGTATGGGTCCATGTAACATATGGATCCAGTACCTGGGACCAGACGGAACCGAAAATGGGACGTTTGACCCACACAACTGACGCAAGACCCATGGGTCCGTAGTTAACTAAGTTGGTTCCTGGTAGTCTCATGGGTGGTCTAGGAAGGTATTTGGATGTCAGCGAGGGGGTCAGCGAGACGGTTCGCATGCCTACCGGGCCTCGCGTTTGATCCGCGCATGCAGAGGCTGATCATGACAGGGGAAAAGCATGCTGTCGTGTACCACGGAGTTTCTCGTACAGTAGCCCATTAGAACAGTAGGAGAAAGCTTAACATTTAGGTCAAACAATTGATCGTTGACCCTTTCATATGTCTTCGGGAAGGTATAGCTTGGTGCGACTGAAGGTCCAAAGTGGCAGGCAAGCCCATGAAGTGGCACTTTTCTTTTTGGAAAGCGACCAACATTACACCCAACGACAGAAACGATTTGAGCTTCACTAAAAACGACGACACTGTTAATACCCAACTGTGCAAAATGAACATGTATTCCTTTTCAATCCTTTTCATTTATTTACCAGCTGAGGCAGAATAGATTATTAATAGTTAGAAGATCTAGGCATATATTCGCCTTAACATTCCCCCCCAACCCATGGTTGATTGGCAAAGAACAGATCATCAAAACCATGGCTACTTCGAATCAACACCGGATCCGCAGCCGGGTGCCCTGCGTTACCGCGCGGATGCGCCCAGACCCACCCCTCCGCGGGGATGCGCGCCGCCTTTCCAGGAGCTTCGACCCGCGACTTGGGGCCTGTCCTGCATCCTGGGTGATGAGACCAAGTGGGACAAGACCAAGAGCCTAGGCCGATGTCGTTGGCTCGGATCTAGGCGATAGGTCTACCCCACTCCAGGACCCCCAAGCATACCAAGCTTGGTAGGGTGTAGCCCATGACCAGTAACAGTCAGTTATCAAGCAAATCCACTATTTTTGGACAACGCCTCTACTAATCATCATCATCATCATCATCATCATCATCATCATCATCATCATCATCATCATCATCCACTGTTACTGGTAATGGGATAGACCCAACCAATAGGTTGATGATGGTTTATGGTTTCCGTCATATCGACCCCGCGGATTCTCTCTCCGTTCATACCGGACTCATGGGATGACTGACCGACCACTCAACCACTTCAACAGTCGGTGGGGAGCGATCCTGGGGAGCCGACTCTCCTCTCCGGGTTTGAAGAGATGGGGTATGTGTCTTTTCCGGAGGGCTCCAAGCATCACCGGGAGCACATCGGTGTACATCGGTTGTTATGGCTTGTTTTCCCATTGATGTGTCTTTTCCGCCCTAAGAATCCTTGGGCTCGACCTCTTGGCAGGGGTCGGACCTGACATCTTCGCAGGGGTCCGGGCCCGAACCAAACCCGATGTGTGTTGAGGGTCTGGATTCTTAGGGCAGAGAACAAACATCACCGGGAGCTGGGGTGTACATCGGTTGTTATGCTTTTTTTACAGGTTTCGTGGGGAAGTATATGAACTGAGGATTGGATTGGTCGGACTGAGTGGGAGCTGGATGGGAGCTGGGGTGATGTGTTTGTTTCCGGTTCCTTACTTAAGCAAATCCGGATGCTCCACTCTCACTCCAGTCGAGTTGCTCCAGTATGCTCCAGTCTTAGGATCGACGGTTCATCGCTCGTGGTAAACCGACTCGTCGCTCGGTGAGCCTAGGCTTGATGGGTTCAGGGTCCAGTTCATGTGGTGTCCTGTTGTTTTGTTTTCGTACAGTATTTCTGAAAAGTGTGGTGTCTTTCTTTGGCAAACAAGCTTGGGGACACTTTTTCTTCATTTAAACTGCAGCATTCAAACCATCCAGCGAGCATCAACGTTGAGGCACCTCAAAAACTGGCTCCCATAATCCGGCCAGTCTCATAGTGGATCTTAGTCCCATCCGGGATCCAGAAGGTACGACTGGAAACTCCAAACCTACATAAGGAACAGTGTCTCCAATCACCGAACTGACAAGGTACGACTGGATGCGCAAGCACCTGCTCCGTGCGCCGGCGCGTGCCGGCGCGTCTCCTCGCGCCTTTGCTGAGGAAACAACTTGCAGACTATGTGCTGAAAGCCATGGCGCTGGTGACTTGGTCGAAGCTGGTCGAGCGGGTCGACAGGTCGCTCTTCCCTCAGGTCGACAGGATTTGGCCCACCTAATCGTCTGAATCCCAAAGAACACGTTGTTTTGTGAAAGGATTGTTTTATGCTACAAAACGAGGTTGACCATTTTGTCAATAGTCTTGGAAAGCTAGGCTAGGGTTCCTGAACTTGGGAAATCCACACAGTGCGTGCCCAAAATCCAGTTCCCGAAGATACCTGACCCATCCTGACCCAGAATCCGATGAGTTCACAGACATCTCACGGGGATTGGTGAGAAACCACACACCCCAGATTGGCTAGTTCGGGTCAGACCCCTACTGTTCTTGGAACATATCGGAAAATCAAGATTTTGCGTCAGGGCAAGAGATGTCATCCCCCAAAAAATAAATAGTCTTTGATCCGGCCGAGATGTCGATTTGCACCGTTTTCACTGTTCCATTCAGGGTCGCGGTTGCGGAGGCAGCGAACCGGTTAGGCCTTTCAGACTCCGTCCCCCAAAACAGAGGCCGCAAGACCCCACCAATTGGGGTCCCCGACCCACACCATCCATGCCATCCAGGGCCTAGATACAGGTCGAAACATTGGTGACCTGACAGGTCTCGGATGCTGGTGAATGGCCTATTGACGGCCTATTCATCTACATTGGTGCAGTTGAACAAGGGGCGAATTGGGCAGCATATCTTCATATATCTTCCATACCAGCATCCTCACTGCCAGGTCACCACCTGCCACCTGCCACTTTTAAGTCTCCATGTTGTTTCTTCATTTGGTTGATGTCCCAGTTTAATTCCATACCTGTACCCTGCCCAGAAACCACCTGTGGTCGGGTCTCCTAACAGCCTGTAGAGTCAGGTCCTGGTACATGGATGGTCTTGGGTGATGGCCCATGGTCCCATGCTGGGTGCCTTTTGAATGATCAAACAGAAGCACACTGAGGACGTTGCAGGTAGATTCAAAACATGGCTGGTCTTGGGTTCCTGGGTACCTTGGCATCCTCCTTCTTCGGACGAAGCAAGGACCCCGAGGATCGCCCTCATGCCGTGGACTTGCCACTTGGGGCGACGGGTGGACCGACGGGTGGACTGACGGGTCAAGCGAGTGTGGACGCGTCAAAAGCAGGACCGTTGAGCATCTAAGAGGTTGGTATACGGTAGACTCTTGAGTTCATAACGCCCCTCCATTTGAATGGATAACCATCTTCATACATGTAAGTTGTCTTTTTTAATCAAAATCAAGCGAGATATCAAGAGTCTATACATTACACTCCGAAATCATCACATGGAAGTGGCAACTACCGGGCACCTTGTCTTCGGAATATCCTCTTCCCAGGGGTCAGGTTTCCATTTTTGGGGTAGCTTTGGTTCATAGACCCCGAACATGCTCATTGTAAGCTCATTGTGTATAGGGGCATTTAGTATAGAATAGTATAGACTATAAAGAGCATTGGTGGCAAATCCTTTCTTTTGATGTGATTTTCATGGTCTTTCATGTTTTCCCGTTCGCACTGGTCGTACTTTAGGCTAGTTTAGCACTTTACCAGAAATATGCTGAGGCGTTCTAGGTCCTCAGAACTCGAACTGCCACTTCAATTCGATGATGGCACGTCCACACAAGAAAAAGGGTTGTGCATTGAATTGACCAATCCTAGTTTTGCTTTATGTTCCCTTTGGGTAAATCCATATAAATCCCCTTCTAGGATGTGTGCGTGTCTATTTTTTCCAAGTTCCTTAAGCACATTCAAGCAATGCAAAGAGGATGGAACATGCAACAACTACCAGCATCATATACTACTAGTATCCTGGAAGTCTAGTCCAGCATTTTTGACTATACAGCTGACTTCAGTTCAGGAATTTCCTGAACACTTTGTGGTGCCAAATATTGTCTTTCACTGGTCTTCTAGGGTCGCCTGCAAGTCCGAGTTTCTATTTGGATCATTGTGGATCGATGTTTGCGTGCTCCAGTCAGTTGGTTCTTGAAGACTTGAGAAATGATGAGGAAATTGGTCCAGCCATACACCTGGACCCGGCGCTCGAAGTACCATGAAGTACCCAAACGAAAGTGGAAGCTATGACCCTGGGAGGAAAACAGCCGAGTACCTGGGGCCCCAGTACTTCCGAGGTACCTGTCTCCAGTACTTCCGAGTGAATGAGAGTTTTAGTCACAGGCCAACGCCCAGACTGTGATCTGTGATGAACGCTAGACATGTTCATCCTTTTTCCCGCATCCACATACCCTCTCACAACGTGATTGGAGGCTCTATTATGCAGGCTTGGAGGGTCCAGTCGTACCTTCTGAGAAGGAATGTGGATCCCAAATTTGGGATCCCAAATTTGGTTTGGAGTTGATACAGGTTTACTGATGAAGTTTCAGAATTAAGTAGCAATGAAGGTTGTTCATGCTTTGATCAATATGAACGGAAGGAACTGATCGGAACAATCCAATGGCGGATGTTTGGTTGAAACCCAGCTGAAGACGCTGAAGATATATGCGCAATGAAGTTGGAACAGGTCTAGAGTCCCGGGTCTAGGCGTACCTTTACTATTTACCCTGGAGGATTCCAATCACCATTGATTTCATGCTTCTTGTCCGAACAACCAGTGTAGTACTAACATCCTCAACCACCAGCCTCTAACATGTCTCCTCTGGAGATTGTTTAAGCTTCACTTAAGGATTGTGACCTCTTGCAGGCAAGACAAAACTGACAAAACTTCAGTATTTTTTTTCGATTCGTGGCATCTGTGGGGATTCCGAACCTCTGAGGGGATTCCGAACCTCTGTGGGGATTCCGAACCTCTGAGGATGCCTCATGACTTCATCAACTTTGAAGTTGAGGATCAAGTCCCAGGTGAGTCCTGCCATCCGTGGACGAGCTTGAGACATGCCATCCGGGGAGATCAAGGAAGACGAAGTCAGCCTCTCAACATTAGTGCCTTCCAAGACTACAGTATTCATGTTTTCTTTAAATGGTTGACATGGTTTGGTAGTGTAAGATCCTTAGTAAGACAGTATTATGGTTGTTTGGTATTTGTTTGGTAAAGACTCTAAAGACTCTTAAAACTAGGCCAGGAATCCTGGGGTATAAGCTTGGTGGTGGCGATGCTTGGAGATTGCTGAGCGGATGATGTGTGCAGTTTTCGCATGCTTGCCATGTATGTCCCACGTTCCTTAATCAAATCCCCACAGGTCCAAAAACCCAGTAAAATCTGGTCCTTTACCTCATTGAGCTCGTGGTGTTTTTGTATGGGCAACTCCAGTAAACTGAGGTCTTTGACCTGTAGGGAATGAAAGAATCTTTGATTTGCCCTTTCAGAAAGGCTCCTTGACTTCAAATCTGCAAAAACCCTGAGGACACCCCGCTAAAATCCAACAGGTGGAGAGTTGTGTTAGATCTCCAGCATTGAATGGGGGTTAGCTTCATAGGTCGGGGTTGTTCTAAAACCCCTTGCGTAAAGCCAGGGTTTGAAAAAGACTTGCAAAAAAGAAAAGTCGTTTGTTGTGTGTGTGTGTGTCACCCCCTGTGCCAAAGGGTTCAATGCCACTGTTTTC